TAGCTGGCAAGCAGATAGAAAATGGGAAAAATAATTCGAAAACTTTGATTTCTATAGATTTTTGTACGGGCTATACGATGGTACAATGCGTTTTCCAAAATTTTTCCATTTTCATGGTGAAAATTCTGAACGAATATTTTTTTACTATTCCGAGTGATAAAGCCTTTTAGAGCGCAGCGCGCTAATCTGCTAGCCGTGCGAGTCATAATAATAATGTTATAACTTTGCAACCACTTGATGTTTAAATCTAAAACTTTCGCAAAAATTTCCTTAGATAGTCATTTACAATACTGTTTTAAAACTAAAAATTTATTTCAAACTTTATAACACAACTTTTGCATTTGAAAACAAACACCCTCTTAATTCATAAAAAAGTTATAAACCTGTAGTTTTATTTGTACTGAGTATTAAAAAGTTGTGTTGAACTTAAATTCTTTGGAATAGTTTGTAGTTTATTGCATGATAAAAACATAGCAAGGTAGAACCGTTCTCTCAATTTGTCGGCCATGATTATTTTTTATTTTTTAAGTTTGCCAACATTTTAAAATCATATAAAAGTGAAAATAAAAAATTGAAATTGTTCGAAATTGTTGTTGCTTGAGATTGAAAATGAAAATGTGTGTGTGAGTTTGTGAGTAAATTTAAAAATTAAATTGTTTGGAAACGTCAAGAATTTTAAAAGTGACTCTCAGCGGTTCTACCTTACTATATTTTTATCATGGTTTATTGTATGAAAATTTCAAATCGATCGATACACAAACGACTGAGATATATCGAGTTTAAATGACAATTTTGTTAAAATTATCATCAAGAATCAGTTCAGCGAAATAATAAAATTTCAAAATAAATAGGAAAGACAAATCTTAATTTGAACAAATCGTCGCCTGGCTTGATTCAAAGCGAACATTTGAAAGCACACTTATGTACATGTTGTGCCCACAGCTAAGTGCGCAAAGATGCTAGCTACAATTAGTTGCGGCCGAAAGTGTCCAAGTTCAAATCTCACTATGCATGCAGTACATATAATTTAGAATTTTTATTTTCGTTTTTTTTTTTTTTTTTATTAAAACGTATCTGTAAAGTGCACAACGAAAAAAAAACTGGTACTTTTACAGGCAACAAGTTACACAGCGGGAGTAAATTGTCACCTCCTAGGACAACTCTATGTTAAATGCGACAGTAGAAAGCATGGGTGGTAGTTTTGCGAGGTACCGGTATTCGACTCCCGACTCACTAGTTCTGTACTAGGTTTTTCCGCTGCAGGGTATATGGGACAAATACATTGACGTATCCTCAGTAGCACTTGAATAAACTTGAAGGGGATTATTTTTCTCCAGGGTGGTTATGCCCCTTTGTTGAAGATGTTGACTTATATAAACTGAAACTTTATGATGAAGTATTAACATTTTATTTTAAAGCTACCTGGGGCCTATTGCATACATGCAATTGTCGATTTTACTATAAACTTTCACTGCCAGAATTGTTGGCGAAATTTTTTCTGTTTCCTATACGCTTGTAGGCAATTGTGAAAGTTTTTGTAAAACGACAGTAATATGGGAAATTGTCGACAATTGTGCTGGCAATTGTCTTCTTCTTCTTCTTTTTTGGCGCTGTAACCGCCTAAGCGATTTTGGCCGAGTTCAGCAAAGCACGCCAGTCATTTCTCCTCTGTGCCAACTGACGCCAATTGGAAACACCAAGTGAAGCCAAGTCCTTCTCCACCTGATCTTTCCATCGCAGTGGGGGCCTCCCTCTTCCTCTGCTACCACCAGCGGGTTCCGAGTTGAATACTTTCAGAGCTGGAGCGTCGGTGTCCATTCGAACGACATGACCAAGCCAGCGGAGCCGCTGTATTTTAATTCGCTGCACTATGTCCATATCGTTGTAAAGCTCATACAGCTCATCGTTCCATCGTCTGCGGTACTCGCCGTCGCCAACGCGTAAAGGACCGTAAATCTTCCGCAAAATCTTTCTCTCAAACACCCCAAGAGCCGCCTCATCGGATGTTGTCATTGTCCATGCTTCTGCGCCATATACCAGCACGGGCATGATGAGTGACTTATAGAGCGTGGGTTTCGTACGTCGAGAGAGGACTTTACTCCTGAATTGCCTACTCAGTCCAAAGTAGCACTTGTTGGCAAGAGTGATTCTACGTTGGATTTCAATGCTGACATTATTATCGGTGTTAATGCTGGTTCCCAAGTAAACGAAATTCTCTACTTTCTCGAAATTGTAACTGTCAACAGTGACGTGGGTGCCAAGGCGCGAATGTGCTGACTGTTTGTTTGATGACAGGAGATACTTCGTCTTGTCCTCGTTTACCACCAGACCCATGCGCTTTGCTTCCCTATCCAACTTGGAAAAGGCAGAACAGACTTCGCGGTTTTTGTTACCGATGATGTCGATGTCATCGGCATAAGCCAGCAATTGCACGCTCTTGTAGTAAATTGTTCCTGAGCGGTTCAGTTCTGCAGCTCTTATTATCTTCTCCAACATCAGATTAAAGAAGTCACATGAAAGGGAGTCGCCCTGTCTGAAACCCCGTTTTGTGGCGAACGGCTCGGAGAGGTCTTTCCCAATTCTGACGGAGCTGGTGGTATTGTTCAACGACATTTTACACAGCCGTATGAGTTTTGAGGGGATGCCAAATTCAGACATAGCGGCGTATAGGCAACTCCTTTTAGTGCTGTCAAAGGCGGCTTTAAAGTCGACAAATAGGTTGTGAGTGTCGATCCTTTTCTCGCGGGTCTTTTCCAAGATTTGGCGTATTGTGAATACCTGGTCTATGGTGGATTTTCCAGGTCTAAAGCCACACTGATAAGCCCATACGGCTGGCAATTGTACCTCTGACAAAAATGACGCGACTATAACGACAAAACCAAATAACTCCGTCGGAAAGCTTTCACAGGAGAGTTTTGTAAACTGATTTAAGAAGTGGTGACAATTGGTTTTTATGAAACAAAACAACCACTAAACTGTCGAATTGTCACTGACAACATAGAAAATACCTGTCGTTACAAAGTTATCACTGACACTTTATGAAATAAGCCCCTGAAAATTCAATAGCCGATTTTAAAATTTTTAAAATGATTAGCAATTTATTATTTTAGAATTTTTAACTCAAACATATCTGTAGCATATCTAAAGCCAGCTTCTCTTCCATACGAAGACAGATGTGTGTATCTCCATTTTTCACTGAGCACTCCTTTTAGTGCTGTCGAAAGCGGCTTTAAAGTCGACAAATAGATGGTGAGTGTCGATCCTTTTCTCGCGGGTCTTTCCCGAGATTTTGCGTATTTTGAATACCTGGTCTATGGTGAATTTTCCAGTCGTCAAGCCACACTGATAAGGCCCAATCAGTTCATTGACGGTGGGTTTCAGTCATTCACACAATACGCTCGATAAGACCTTGTAACCTATGCTTAGAAGGCTGATTCCACGGTAATTGGCGTGAATGGCGGGGTCGTCTTTCTTGTGGATTGGGCAGAGCACACTTAAATTGCACTCATCGGGTATTCGTTCATCTGACCATATTCTGCATAAGAGTTGATGAATGCGCGTAGGTAGTATACATTCCAAATATGAAGCTTTTCCGTCCATAACTACGGGTCTTTTAAATATGTCAACACGCGCGCCAACTAGCACATTAATTCCAAGTCTTGAGCTAAGTTTAAGGTTAAGCGATTTTCTGGCTAAAACCTTTAGAACTGTCAAATGGCAAAATTACACTCTCAAACGAGAGTAAGAAAATAATTATAACGATGATTTTGATAATAAAAAAAGCAAAGAAGAGGGAATGTTAGAAGGAATGTTAGAAAAAATTTTAGACAAAAGAATAAAACAAAATACAATAAATAAATTATTATATGTGTAAAATATTAATGGTGGCGTGTAAAATTAGTATTTTTAATACGAATAATGTAAATTTCCCATCGCGACAGCAATTATTTAGTATTTATTTGATTTTAGTATTTATTTGAAAAAAAAATAGTTCGATTTTAATCACATTTAGCGGCGTTCATTGTGGTTTATATTTTATCTTTAAAGTTTCTCCTCTATTTACAAGAATAATCGATAAGTCAGAGTTGCAGACGGAGAAGTTGTTTTTTTTAATAATAATAATAATTATTATATTCAAAAATTTTTATGAGCTTGAGGCCGTTTAAAGTGAAAACTTATTGTGGAAAAGCAACAATAATTTGAAAAAATGGTAGAAGTGATAGCTATTTCGGAAATCACCACATTTCCTCATCAGACTTCTTTCAGTAAGATTCGAACCGACGATCACCACTGACTCAGCCAGTTGATCTTGAGTCCGTTTTCCACAATAAGTTTTCACTTTAAACGGCCTCAAGCTCATTAAAATTGTTGAATATAATTGTTATAAGGCCATAAAAATAACAATAAACAAATAACTTAGGGACGAGCACACCTAAAAAGTTAAACATTCTAATAATAGAAATATTAACAAAAACCAACAAACCGGATATCCGAATACGGCAAAGTCTCTATCCGGCACATCCCTAATTTGTACATATGCAAACATACACATCTTCAGCAGAATATTCTGGCTGCGTTTCTTTATACATTCCGGATAATCTCATTTCACAGCCGGAATAAACAGAATTTGAAATATACTTTAATAAATATATCACCAGGAACGTTCTAAAGAATAAGTAAACAAAAAAGTTTATTCCAAACGTTCAGAATGAATAAAGAAATGCAGCCTCTATGACGGGATAAAAAGAATGCGTTGCGGTTATCCGGAACGTTCTAAGGAATAAGTAAACAGAAAATTATATTCCAAATGTTTAGAAGAATAAAGAAATCCCCATTTTCTTTTATGATTTTTTGCTTAAACGCTAAATCTGCGAAATAGGTCAGTACGATACCCTCTTTCAAAATTATTCTGTGATTATTCTGTTACATACAAAATTTGAATTAGTTGGACCCTATAATTATCGAAATATTATTTAAATAAACATATTTTACCTTTTCAGGTAAATCGACATCACAACTTGATCTTTCTGAGTCTGCGGGTACTATTCGAGAGTTGACCAGCGAATATTGCTTCCTATGCGGCAAATCAAGCAAACTTCTAAACCAAACATTCCAAAATATTGAGTCATGCAAGGTTCCGGCATCAGGAAAACCAATTCAGGTCGTATTGCAGCATTTGGCTAACTGTGTCAAAACAAACTTGGTGTTCCAAGGAATTGCCAGTATTTGTTCAGAATGTTGTGATGAATTAGCCGAATATGACAATTTAATGGTTAACTTACTTTCTTTTCAAAAGCGTTTAACCGAACGCCTTCGGTCAGTTTTATCTGGGGAGCTTAAATTGGAGCAAGCTGACTATGATGAGTCAATGGCAGAAGCTATGATAGTTGAAGATGGCCAGATAGAAGACGCTTTTAATCCAGAGTTAGATGCAAAAGAAGAGTTTATCGAAATCGGCGGTAATGACGAAAATGTTGAGAGCAATGTTCAGGATGAAGACAGTTTTCAAAGTGAAAAGGGGTTTGATGATGGTGATGATGATGATGATGACAATTGGGCTGTGGATAACAATTTGGGCGAAAAAAGTCAGGAATGTGTTATTTGCGGATTGATATTCAAGACTAAGTCCGAACTTAATAGACATATAACCTCGGCTCATAATGTAAAACAATTTATTTGTAATATTTGTGGCATAGTGCGAAGGGACGAAGAATATTTGGAGCTGCACATGAATGTGCACGAAGGTAAAACTGAAAACGAGTGCCGTTACTGTGACAGGCGTTTCACTCGACCAGTTAATACTTTGCGACATATGCGTAAACATTGGGATAAAAAGGAGTATCAGTGTGAAAAATGTGGCGAACGTTTTTCTTTAGACAATATGCTTTACAATCACCGGATGCGACATGAAGCCGAAGAAAACCCATTAATATGCAGCATATGTAACCAATCATTTAGGTCGCGAAAAACTTACAATCATCATATGCTTATTCATAAGGAGGATAGACCTCGACACCAGTGCACACATTGCTCAAAATCTTTCACCGAACGTTATACACTAAAAATGCATATGAGAACACACAATATTGAACTGCCATCATGCCGGTCTCGAGCATCTCAATTGTTAGATGAGCAGGAACAAAACGAAACTAAGGAAGCTGTGTCAACGTTAATATCAAAATTTGAAACTACGTCACCCCCAAAAGAGCACCGATGTGTTATTTGTAGCCGAATATTTGAAAATAAAGAGAACTTGGAAAAACATTTAGAAAGCGATCATGACGTTATCTTGGATGATCAACAGAACCAATGATTTAAGTATAATTTTGATTATCTGTAAAAATACGATAAAAATACTGACACAAATTTTTTCCATTGGTGTTATTACTTCAAGCGGTATACATACATATATGCGCAATTCTCACAGGCTTCGAATTTTTTTGTGAAATAAATTATTTATTTTAAATGGTGAGGACATGTCTGTTTTTTGTGATTTTTAGTATACGTTCCTTTAGCTGCTAGAATGCAACATCCAACGTGGTGGAACCTTTTAAATCAACGCAAAGTGGGTGTATTTTTAGTACGATTTCGAAAAATTTCAAAATATAACTTTTATGACAAGGTCAAGTTTGTTAAATCGATGATACAAAAAAGAAGGTAGTTTCAATAAACAACTTTTTGATTAAGAGCGTGTGTGAATCGGTAACAAAGTTCGCGGCGAGTAAATTTTTAACAACTATGAGGTGAATAAAATTTCAGTAGCTCAAGAGGCTAGTGAAATTTTTGCCAAATGCATAGAAAATTTTGACAATCGCAAGTGGTGCACGAGGATCATAGATCAATAGTATATTGTACAACAGAGCACACACGTATTTGGCTAAATTTTCCAATTGCAGACGATGTGCTAATAAAAAATATGAATTTTTACTTTTGTGCACGCATCATAACCTTTTAAAGAAGTTTGTTTTTAACTATCTTCTAATGAGAGCACATAGCCTGCCACGACACTTTGACTCTTCATAACCTCTTTTCTATTGCAAGCACCAGTGATCGGACTTCTACCACATTGTGGTTGATCTGCCACGTTTTTGAGCATATACCACATCTACCACATAAGGTCTGAAATCTTCCACATATTCGCGTTTTTGAATAGTTTTATTTTTGCTCGACATAATTTTCTAAATTTTAAGAGCAAAAATTGTCCAACACTAAACACTAACAACAGGCAGAATGGGAGGATAAAATAAACCGTAAAATAGTAAATTTTCTCAATATTCAATTTTTCGACAGGTAACGTGGTTTATTGTGTTAAATTGCAAAATATATGATTTATAAAAAAGAATTAATAGCGAAAATGTTAAAAAACAGCGATTTTTGTGAAAGTATTCGAAAATTTCGGTCCATCTAAGGTTTCTGAGCCGTTGTTTACCTTTACTTGAGAATCGTCAAAATCGGCAAATCCCAAGTAGCGGTTTCTGGAACGTGCCACTTTTGTCCGCTACATCGAGATGTGATAAAAAGAAAAACTGGCAGCTGTCCGCTAGATTGCAGAAATCTTTCAAAATATGTTCGAAAAATATCTTGATATGGACGGAACTGCNAAAATATCACATTTGGTGCGAACATTGGGATAAAGTAAACGGGTGCGGTTTTTGTTATAAAATTTATTTAATCTAACAGAGTTTTGTATATTATAACTCGATAAGGTTTAAGTCTTGCCATAGCTTGCATTCGCTAAACTGTGGATAATTGTTTTCCAATCTCTCGTGCGATCTTCTTCCGATAAACCGATTTTTTTTTCTAATTCAGGTAAAGAGCCTTATCCTTAAGCTGGTGCGAAATTATTTTTTTGAGCGATTAGCTTACTCCGTTAGTTTAAGCAGAAATAATCCATTCATTGATTTTTGAAGGAAAATTAGAAGTTTTTGGTATATTTAATTTTAATTTGATTCTTGATCTCGAGAATGTCGCATTTTCAATGAATTTGTTCAACATTATTTTTTGAGCAGCCACTTCCAACGCTAATAAAACTGTCAAACTAAAAGCCAGTACTATGAAATTTAAACCACATAATGGTACATCTATTGTCTAACGATCGGCATTGCAACTGTTTGTTCAAACAATTGCTATACAGGAATTGCTGGAACGCGTACCAAGTTTGTTAAATCCATGATACAAAAAAGAAGGTAGTTTCAATAAACAACTTTTTGATAAGAGCGTGTGTGAATCGGTAACAAAGTTCGCGGCGAGTAAATTTTTGACAACTATGAGGTGAATAAAATTTCAGTAGCTCAAGAGGCTAGTGAAATTTTTGCCAAATGCATAGAAAATTTTGACAATCGCAAGGATTGTCGATGTGTGTAATTTTTCGTTAAATAAAAGCTTAAATTGATGAATTGCCATCAACTGTGGAAGATGTTTTCTTAGAATATTAATTTCACTTCAATTTGTAATATTTTATTCCGCATAAATCTGCGGTTATCAAAAATTTAATGCTGCCAAAAAAGATTTAATTTCACACAGCAGATTGGCAAAACTGTCTCACCATAGTAAAAATATTATTCAACAGCTTTCCCTTTGTTACCGATTCACACACGCCTTAAAAAGCAGATTTTTGACAATTGCTCAATTGTGAAAAATTCGAAGCGGCGTTACCCAATTGTAAGTTTTTTGGTGTGGGAGATTTTATATCCTTAATTTAGGATTTTAAATAAAATAGTTGTGTTAATATTTACCTTTTAATAATAATTAATATCTTATCTTAAAAACGTTTAAATTTTACATTAACTTCGAAAAAAACTTGCCAAATCATTTTAATATTAATACAATTTTAGTGAACATATTTTAAATTTTTTTAGTGTCCTCATGATCATCTGATTATTTCACAATGTAGTTTTCTATATCGGATACGATGATTCTGATATAATTCAGACACTGAAATTATACATTTCGATCTGTTATTTAATACATATTGTCTTTGTCCATTTAACAGCAAATGGAATTTACTTTGGGACCCGTGGGCCGCGAAATTTTTCCAGCAACACACATTGTTTTCAGATGAAGTTTTGAAACACCCAAAAGTGAAGTATAAAATAAATAGATTAAAACGAATTTTCAATCAAACTGATTTCTGTAGTTCAGGGGCGTCTTTTGGTAAATGTTCTGGAGGTCTTTTTTGGTCAACTACGACGTTTGATTTCATTTTTTGCAATCATTAGTTCATTCCTTTGAGGAGTCAGAATGTCCATACCGGCTATGTCGATTTTTTTCAAATTTCGGACACAAATCTTCCAAGAATGGTTTTAGGCTAAAACAAAACCGTTATCTAAAGGTGGTGTGGAACCTCCCATACAAATCGAATTTTTCATAGTGCATATCTCTGAAAGTATTTATGGTAGAGTTCTGGAACTTGGTATAGNATAGTGCATATCTCTGAAAGTATTTATGGTAGAGTTCTGGAACTTGGTATGGATATATCTNAGGCTAAAACAAAACCGTTATCTAAAGGTGGTGTGGAACCTCCCATACAAATCGAATTTTTCATAGTGCATATCTCTGAAAGTATTTATGGTAGAGTTCTGGAACTTGGTATAGATATATCGTCGCTCGAATAAAAAAACAGTGTAAATGCCACATACACTATTATTCGATAATTGCACCATTAGATAGACACTCCTTTAATCTATTAGAAAAATCTTTAGTTTTCTTAAATATCTCTTTGGCTCACTAGTTTATTCCCCAAAAAAAAAATTGTATTTGTATGGTTTGTAATGGTTTATAAAAACTTCCAATACGTTTTTCTCAAAACTATACTTTTCATGTTACACTATTT